GAGGAGCTGGGATAGCGTCCCCGGTAGAGCGACCGGCTACGGGCTGGACGACCGAGGGGTAGGAGTTCGAGTCCCGGTAGTGTCAAGAATTTTCTCTATGTCATCCAGACCGGCTCTGGGGTCCAACCAGCCTCATATCCAAAGGGTAGCGGCGGCTATTTCCCCGAGGGTAAAGCGGCCGGGGCGTGAATCTGACCACTCACCTCCGAATAGTACCGAGGTCAAGAAAATGTTGATCTATATACCGTATTTACGCATGTATAGGCCGCGTGCATGTACGAGTATAGGCCGCAGCACAATTTTCAGACAGAAATTATAGAAAAAATAATTTTCTTGGAATATTATTTCAGGAGTAGAACACCCTGTATTACTAATTATGAATATAATTTTTTTTAAATGAAGTGTGATTTCGAATATTTCGAATATAAGCCGCACCCCAGTTTTCCTCTTGAATTTTTGGCAAAAAATGTGCGGCCTATACATGCGTAAATACGGTATCCACTACCCCATACGCCTTAATGGCGTAGTGCTTAATTAGTTGAGCACAAGGACAACTTTACCTTATTTCTAAGCCGGCATTTCACATATATTCATCTATATATACACGTATATTGCCGTAATAGGATATGTGAATGTGAAGGGAGGTTTGGGATAAGATAAAAAAAACACGAAATATCACAGACAAAATAAGGATTATATGGCCTTTGTATTATTTTCATTCTATACACATCTAGTTTATATCAAATTACATAATTCCTCGTGTTCTGAAACTGTAATTTTCGGATTTCGTGTATTATTAGATATAATTCTGATTCAATATTTCTTCGTACGAATAAATATGCTTTTGATTTGAAATAGCATATAAGTAAGCATTGTATAAGGGGTGAGCCTTCTTGGCCCTTGCACCGCGACCACAGTGATCTATTGTGCCTGAGTAAGCATTCATTCACACAGAACAGAGTTTTTCATACACTAGGCGTACACTGAGCCGCACAAAATGAAAATAAAATCTTTGGCTTTCACAGTGAAACAGGCTACAGTTGAAAATGTTTTAACGGCACGACACAGGAACAAGAACTATGGGGGGCATCGACTCTTTTTTTATATAAATTTATAATTATCTTTACGTCCCTTCTTCTTATCGTTTAACGCTACATGAAACATCTGTGTGTAAATTAATGCTTCTGATATGAACAGTAGAACAAGGTAGAATTAAATTCGTTTGGCTGTTAAAACAAAGTACAGTTTGCTCTGTTAACGACTTCACTGCCCTTATCTTACTGTGTGCACATATTAAAATGGTACAGATTCGATTAAAGTTTAAACAGTGCTTTAGATATTCCATCATAGGCGAGCGGAAGAAAACAATTTATATTTATAATCATTAAGTTAATTTAAACTGTTCAAGTCGTTCCTTTATTTCAGACTGTAAATGTTTTAATAACAAAACAAACTCTGTATATAACAGAACGGGTACTTTTCTTACAAGTGTGATATACATTGTATTGCAACCATGGTAAAGAAAATAAATTTGTCCCTGTATTTAACTAATTAAGCACTACGCCAAGAAGGCGTATGGGGGAAAGGATGTATAGATCCACATTTTCTTGACATAGGCACTAGCCGAAATTGAGTGGTCAGCTTCACGCCCCGGCCGCTATACTCCCGGAGATAGAGGCCCCAGTACCCATTTAATAGGAGATTGGACCTCAGAGGCAGTCTGGACGATACGGAGAAGAGAAAATTCTTGACCATACCTAGATTCGAACTCCGACCCTTCAGTCGTCCAGGCCGTAGCCAGTTGCTGTACAGATTGAGCTACCCCGGCTCCTTATTCTAACTATACATAAACAGATATCTCTGATGTTCCGTCTTACATGCAACACTCCTTTAAAATTTTGTTTAAAAGTTACCACATATACACAATGAGTATTTTAACCCTATTTGAAACCACATTGTACACTACATGTTTCGACATCAGATGTTCTGAAGCTGTTTGTGGAGATTGGTATGCTTCCTTTTTCCGCTTACAATATTCGATGTGTAGTCCAGTCACACATACGTGTTCTTCGTCGTGCTGGGTGTTTCTTTCTGCTACGTTATGTGTTTAGACTACGTGTTTCCTGAGCCGTTGCGTAGCAAATTTAGGAGAGGCACAGCTGGGTAATCTCATAACTATTATTTTTTTCGAAATAAGGAAATAAGGCTAAAAATTAATGTTTCAGTTATGTAAACTTCTGTAACTCAGTTTACGTTGCATCAGAGAAATGAAACAGATGTGGATCTGCTTTAACCATAAAGTGAGATGAAGGGTTTGTTGCTTTATTTCAATATTTATGTCTTTTCGCGTTCTGACGTGTTTTCCCTACTTACTGTAGTCAATTTTCTTGGTCTCCAATGCCGTCCTTTACTTTCCAATTACTGAAATGTTTCTTATTTCAGTGTGCTTTTTTATTTTCCCTTTCTCTGTTTCTTCGTTCCAATTTTCATCACATGTTGATCCCGTACTGATTGTAACTCTTCTGTGAACACATAACACACAGAACCTACGAGCTAAGTTCGTGCCAGCCTGTGCGTTACATGTCAGAGTGTACCTGAGAGATCAGACGTTTCCATTGAACCTAGAGCAACAAAAACGTGCTCTTAAATATCTGCTCTCTTGCTTCACGTTCCATTCTCTTCATGCCAGTTCAGAGCTTCATACCTCTACCCATTTTATTTCAATATTTCGTTTGTTCTTTCCTCAATACGCTTCCTCTGAATGTTCTAGTCTATTTTCCTTGCCTCTAAGTCTGTGTTGCTTTGCATTATTGTTTCTTTTACTTTCCTCTTTTATGTCTTCGTTTCTTCCTTTTATTTTTCATCTTTCTTCCAACTCTTTCTTAGTTCTATGCCTCTAAGCCATACCATCTTGGTAATTCTTAACTCCCAGATATTAACGATAAAATACATGACGGCCAACTTCTGAAGTGACGTATTTATGTGTTTACTATTTACTTAAAGACACTCGCGGTTTATATTTTGCGTCTAACAGTTGAATGATAGAGAATAGTGGCTCCGAAAGGATTGCAAAGAAGAGGAATTAAAAGGTAAAGCTCTCCCTGTACCAGGCCGTGAAAGCCCATAAGATTGTGACAAGTCGAGGCTTCCACATTTTCTAGACAGTCGGCTCACAGATGGCGGTGAGGTTGTCAGCCTTACGCGCCGGCCGCCATTTACACCCCAGGAAGATTCTCTGGTACTCATTTCTGTTAGAAGTTGAGTCGACCCCAGGGCCATAGTGAGGCTGGAAGGATTAGGTCAATCGAAAAAATGCACCTCATCAGGGCTCGAACCCAAGACCTTCCGGCTTGTATGATAGTGCCTCAACCAACTACGCCACCGCGTGCCCCTCATTAACTCTATAACCCTTACACTGTGCACAGTGTCGATATTTGAAAAATATGCAACTTTCACTGAAGGAAGCTACATACTTAAGATCCATCTTAGTGTTCTCCTTTTATCTACGTCTCGGTCTTCCTAACAGTCTCTTTCCTTCTGGCTTTCCCACCAAACTCCTGTATGCATTCCACTTCTCCCCGTGCGTGCTACATGATCTGCCCATCTCATCGTCCTTGTCTTGATCATTTAAATTGTATTTGGCCGAGATTAAAAGTTATGAAGCTCTTCGTTATGCAGTTCTCACCAGTCTCCTAGTATTTCGCCCTCTCCTCAGATCTACCTCTGTCTGTGTCCTAACCCTAATGTCAGAGACGAAAGCTTACGCATACAAGACTACAGGCAACGTTACAGTTCTGTGTTTTTTAGTTTCCCTTCTCGAGGACTATGGCCTTATCGTGAGAACAGGTTTACGAGCCCTGATAATCCGCAGAGATGTGCTAGCGGGTGCATAAGCTAATTGTAGGGCCACACATGTCAAAGGGTAGGGGCCAGACGAAGTGTAGCCTCTGGTCCTCCGGGATAGCGTAGTCGGTATAGCTGGACGAACAGGGGATCGGAGTTCAAGTCACGACAGGGTCAAGAGTTTTCTCTTCTCCATGTCGCCCAGACCGGCTCTGAGGTCCACCCAACCTCATATCAAATGGGTACTGGAGGGTAAAGCAGCCGGGGCGTGAAGCTGACCACTCACTTCCAACTAGTGCTGAGGTCAAGAAAATGTGGCTCTATACATTAACTCCCCCATACGCCTTCATGGCGTAGAGCTTAATTGGTTAAACACAGGGACAACATTTAGGTATGAAGTTACGGACTATGACCGCCTATGTAGGCCGCGCCATAGCTCAAGCGGTTAGTCGCTGGCTTCCCACCGCGGCGGCCCGGGTTCGATCCCCGGAGTGGTCAAGTGGTGGACAAAATGACGCTGGGGCTGGTTTTCTCCGAATACTGCTGTTTCCCCTGGCAATCTTCATTCTACCAATTGCTCCACAATCACCCTCACCTATCATCTGGGGCTGGTACAATAGGCCAGAAGTGGCCGCAGTACAAGGGACTTAGTCCCACCCCACTAGCAACAAAAAAATGACCGCCTATGTGGTCTATAGGTCAGAGTTACTGGCTACAGATACAGAGGTCTCGGGGTAGATTCCCGGCGCTACCAGATTTGCTGAAAAATAGTTGGTCTGAAACGGGGTTCACTCAGCCTCGTGAGGATAACTGAGGAGCTACTTGAATGGAAAAATAGCAGTTCCAGTCTAGAAACCCGAAATTCACGGCCGTGGCGGTTCGTTGCGCTGACCACGCAGCACTCTCTATCCTCAAAAGTTGGCACTAACTTCGCCGACAAGCTGCGGTAGCTTGGTCGGTATAGTTCGATTGCCGACCAAAAGCCACGGAATTTTTTTGTTGTTGTTTTGTTACGGGCTATATTAATGTAGCAAAAAGACAGGTTACAGTACGTGTCCTTTTTGAACATTGGGCGACTGTCAGTTTCTGAAGACGGATTCTGCTCCGTGCAGATAGTAGACGAATCTGAAGTATGGTTCTGATTGGTCTGTTTGCAGGAAAACAGAGGCCGCCAAGCCCCCGTGTCGCACAGGAGCGTGCAGAGTCTGTCTGAAGAGTTTCAAGCCTAACGACTTCTTCCGAACCTGCTTCGAGTGTCAGCAGAAGGTATGCGAGGACTGCGCGTCGTACTCCAAGCTGGACGAGAACGAGGACCAGGTCAGTCGCCCTCCTTTCCAGTCTTGTCTGTCCGCCGGTCTCATCTTGCGAATCCCTGCGAGGGTTCAGTCGAAATTTGATATTTGTGTTTACAATAATTCTTCGCTTAACGTTGTACCCGTTAACGTTCCAGTTATTACGTTGTTACGTAATATTTTCATATCAAGGCTCCACACAACGTCGTTGTAACTTGTTATTACGTAATTGTTTATCCCAGAGTTTTCGATCACAAAGGCCGCGTGGTCTGAAACATGAACCGTCTTCCCCCGCTCCTGGGTTCGAATCACACTCGAGGCATGGATGTCTTGTGTTTTTTTTTGTGTTTGTGTTGTTCTGCGTGTAGTAGAGGCTTAGGCGACGGGCTGATCCCCCGTCCAAGGTGTCCTACGTACTTTTTATAGGATTAAGAAACTAAAATAGCGTCCAAGGTTCAAAGAGTTGTGGAGCCATAGACAGAGAGATAGAAAATGTGTTTAATAGAATGAGTAAAGAGGAGGGTTACTCACCCAAAAAGTGTTCAGTGTTGACGAGACCGGACCGCCATCCACAACTCTCTCGCTTCGCCTTTGGCCATCTGTGAATCAGATATATTTTACTAAATGTTAAATAAACATCACTGTAGTTTGTAGTTGCATGTATTTATGGTCAAGAGGAAGAGAATACAGTTATTTATAATCTCGTTCGTTTTGTCTGGGTTGCAATACGTGTTATGTGGGGTGAAGAAAGGCTGAGAAACGTAATGGGCCTTTTTCTTAAGTTTCTTACGGTAAAAATGGATCAGCTTAGCGTCGTTTCACATAACGACCGGTTTAAGAGAACATATCCACGACATAAAGCGAGCACTTGCTGTATATCTGACTTTTCCGCTAGACATAATTGTATATACTCTCAACGCTGCCACCACGCGACTGCCCTCCTTGACTTTGGAGTTCAGTGAAGACCCAGATAGCTCAGTCGGTACAGCGAGTCTACGGGCTGGACAGCCGGGGTTCGATTTTAGGGAGGGACCAGAAATTGTTCTTTCCTCAGTGTCCAGAGTCCCACCCAACCTGCTTATTCAATAGGTACCGGCGATAAAGCGGCCAGGGTGTGAAGCTCATCACGCACCTCCGTCTAATACCGAGATCAAGAATGATCGAGCTATCCCTCCACTCCCTCATGCGTCTTCATGGATTAGTGCTTCATTAGTTAGGTACGGGGATAATTTTGCCTTTACCCGAAAACAGTGTTACATTCTTACGTCCAAGCTGGAGATTGCTACGTCATAGGTGGGCCGCACTAAGGACTCCCTATAGACTCATACCCTAGTCCAGAATACAGAAAAAAATGCCGTTTTAAATTTTGCCTACGGAGGATATGTATGGAAATATACAACTACATAATTTCTAGCAATAAATGAAAAGGCCTGCAGCAGGAATCCACTTCGCTGGGAGACTATTTTGTTCACATACCAAGTACTTCTGTCTCTATTGATCTGACATATCATTTTAATTTGTTACCGTGTTTCCGATCTGAGTACTTGGATTGTGCACCCGTTTTCGAAGAATTTCCTTTAGTATTCTGTTGACAATGTACGGACATATAGATGTTTCTAAGTATGATTGCCTGTAACTCGGCCTTTTTAATATCCTATGATACACTTCTTCGCTTTCGTTATCAATTTTATGTTGTTGCATAATTAATCAAATTAAGCAGAGGAGATCATTATCATCCTTTGATTATTTTGGAGTTTTCTAATTGCGTATTGTAAATCGAAATTTAAAGACAGTTGGTATAAAGCATATTGTGTCGTATAGAACCGTTGCTATGCAACGATCGTGAGATGGACGATTATAACAGACCCGCTTCTGGGCAACGGCTGGGTAAACGCTTTCCCGCTGCAACGCTTACACATGTAACGGCGGACAAAGGTGTGTTGTTTACGCGTTCCGCGCCGAGTAGTTATAAAAAGAAGAGAATTGGGACACCCAGTTAGTTAAGCTCTGCAAGCGAGGCTGAGAGCAGATGGCGCTATAGTTGTGTTGACAGTTGATTTCTGGACGGGAGGCTGTGACAACAGGGCCTGAGGGCAAGAAGCTGGAGAATCTCCAATGTTAGAAGCCGATATTAGGGAACGGCTGTTGGAATCGTTGCACGTTGGAGAAGACTTGTGATTTGTGAATTATGGAGATCAGCGAGAGAGCTGTAATTACCTGTAGTTGTGAGCGGTTTGTGTATGTATCCCATAAATTCAATCACAATCCATACCCCGTCTATAGTCACACATATAAATCGCGACTTGTTAGACGTAATTCTTGAAGTATGTCAAATTCTTCCTTGTATGGACTTCTGTTCGAGTGCCCGGAACACTGTTCCGAACAGTGAGTTAGGAAGAATGCCGTGATTTGAGACACTCTTCTGGGAACGCTGATAGAAAACCACGGCAACAAATTAATCAAATATATTACCTCATCGAATTCGGCACCTCTCGAATACGAAAGAGAACTGTAAACCACTCAACTGTGACATTGGGTCACAGCTTTCGTACAACGCAATAAGGAGAGAAATAACTTTGCAGGACAGCTCTTCTGTACGGAGTTCCACGCTTCTCCCCCTTACGTAATATATCAAGATGATTTATTCATGTTTGTGAATTGTCTCAGAAGCTTCTGTTCTAGCGAAGTGATGGAGACATTGTGCATTATACAGAACACCAGAGCAATATCCCTGATTCAGTTTAGATTTTACTGTGGTTCGGTACATTACCTGCTTTCGTGCTGTTATTTTGTAACCATTTTCTTTTTGTTCTATTTCGTTTCTTTCCACTTGTTTTAGCCCCATCCAAAATTTTATTTCTTTCTACCAGACTAACCTTCCTTATTATCTGACCAGTTTCTAGTACTGCTGTTTTATTTTTTCCTCGTATTCTTTGGTTTTTATTCATTTTATTTAACTTCGTTTGTGTTCTTCAGAAAAGAGTCACTTCCGCTAAACAAAAACAAAAGAGAACGACTTGTAACTCCGAGCCCGAACGGTTGGCTGGAACTTGATTTCGACCACTTGCTGACTCAAGCTTAATAGATTTCAGTCAAGAGGACCGTTGAGCTCGCTAGAGATAACATGTGAAAGAAACTGTTATTGCTTATGGTCAGAAGATGGGGTAACTGTTGTTGGTTCTGATTTCTACCGAAGTAGGAAGCTAGTTAAATTCCATTATATCGAATTATTTTAAAACACAACTTTGTAAAAGTACGAGGGAGAGTCAGTAAATAGGTCACATATGGATATGGAACGTAAAACATTTGATATCCGAACCTGGAAAATCATTTATTTCTCAACATATTCTCCATCAACATTGATACACTTGTCCCATCGCTTTATCTGTGTATCCAAACCCACAGCACCAAAGTCGTTTGATTGTTGTCTCAGCCACTTCCGCACCTCCGTTTCAATCTCTTCGTCATCAACAAAACTTTTGCCACCCACATGTGAAACTCTTTACGCGACAAACACTTTCCACCTTAAACAGGAAAAATTTATTTATGAATATCTTTTGTACTGAGTCTTTTTGCCAGCTAAAAGGACATAACCGAACTCTGTTCTTCGGTAGTAAAACACTCAAACGCGGTTGCCATTTTGACCACTGAAACCAGCATCTGAATATGCACATGCGCATCTGCTACCTAGATTGTCATGAAGCTGGACTGTGCTGCTATCTAGTGATACACATATAAAACCTAATGCATCCATTACAGATGTTTTACTTTCATTTGTATCATATTCACTAATTCTCCCTCGTCGTTAGTGTACGGTTAGACAAGGAACTATAAATAAAGCTGATGTCACATCTGTTTCAGTGTTGCGAGAAACCTTGTCGTGTGTTGAGCTATTGTGATATTAATTATTCCTGTTTCTTCGATGTTCCTTTCCATATTATCAAGTGATTTTTCGAGGCCAACGTTTAGGACATCTCTCGCAGATAACAGACCAAACAGACCAAACCGTCTCCGGTATATACGAGTATGTTATAAATCACATATCGGCAACAGAATATTACTCGTACTAATACTCCTACAAGACGCTAGATAGACTAGAACATTCTTTCGTGACCTCCTACATAACTTAGTCCATACAATATGTTAACGCTCGGCTATGTGTTGCCCTGATAAACGAAAATTTCATAATTTCAGATCTTTATCTACCATTTTCTTTTCACTGGTTTTATAGCCCCCTTGGGAACTTGCCTCTAATTTTCAGTTTCATGAACATTTTACAGACGGTAGGGCTCCTTGGACGGGTGATCAGCTCGCCTCAAGGCCTCTATCTAAACACAGAATAAACACATACACATACAAAACATCCACGCCCTGAGTTGTAATCGAACCCAAGATCTTGGTTTCCGGGCGAGCGAAGACAGTATATGACTTAGACCGCTCGGCTACCGTGACCGGCTTTGTCTCACCATTACATTATTTATTATATATATATATTGTCACGTGTATGAGTGACTATAGACGGGATTTGGACTGGTGAATAGATTTATTGACCACTTACAGGTCGTAACTAGAAACATCTATAATACTATTGTTGATTTCCACACTAGGTCTTCGTAATCTACACTCACTAGTCTTTACTAGATAACAGCTCTCAACAATGGTTATTCCTCTGCAGTGTTTCCTGGTAACGAAACTTAGCAATGGCGGTTCTTCCGCTTCCGTTGCTCGCTGATTAACACTCCACAGCCGAACCCTCATCTGCACTGCACTCACTCGTTGAACAGAGATTCATAGTTACTTTACGACTGGGAGTTTACCTCCAGTCAGTTCGTCTTGGCGACAAGCCTCTTGAGACTCACGACCAGTAATGTTTTCGACTGAACACTGGCAGTCATAGTCCGTATGTAACATCCTTTATGAAGAGAGGAGATGTCTTTTGTTTACAGTTGCTGTTGTCCCTTGCCAGCGTAGTAATTCTCAGGTCCGAGCACCGCTGGACTCACAATCATATTTTACTGTCTCAGATTCGAGATTTCCCCATCCTCGAGGGCCAGGGCACCGTCTTTATATCCCCCAGGAATAAGGTGACCCAGTTATACTTCTCAACCACTGAGTTCCCTTTTCGTCGCCTTCTACGAGTCGCAGGGCTACTCGCACAATTGGGGTATTCGAACCTCCTCCACATGGGATACTCACTGAACAGAACACGGTCGGAGCGGAGCTAGAGAAAACACCGCTGCATCACCTCTTCTATTGTTGTGTGACGTCACTGCAAACGCGTATGCTGCGGGCGCTACATAGCAACGGCTGCTGTTTACAAAGTCACCTCTTAGCAGTGGGTTTTTACGCCATAATATAAACACGCACCAACATGTACTTGTGTATATATATATGTATATATGAAGAGAAAAAGATAATTGTCATTTCGCTGATCTTTCCCTTTAGTTTAATTTAATATTTGCATGTTCTATTCACTATTAGGCTATGACATCTAAATTGGTGACAGAAGTCCAACTTTATAGGGCCAATAACTGAATAATCAGTAAACATTAAAACTTCGATGTTAAATTTACCATACGATTCAAACGAAGATTAAATA